GTGGCGCAGTTCGCATGCGCCCCCCCCGCCCACCGCAGGCCCATTTCGGCTCAACCCTTCGCGCGGTTCGTGGCCCCATGGGGAGCTCCACCGCAGACCCCAGTGGCGCAGTTCGCATGCGTCCTCCCCGCCCACCGCATGCCTAGTCCGGCACGCACCTCACGCGGTTCGTGGCCCATAGGGAGCTCCACCGGAGGCCCCAGTGGCACGGTTCGCATGCGCCCCCCCCCGCCCACCGCACGCCCATTTCGGCGCACCCCTCACGCGGTTTGTGGCTCCATCGGGAGCTCCACCGAAGGCCCCAGTTGCGCAGTTCGCACGCGTCCCCCCCGCCCACCGCATGCCCATTCTGGCGCACCATTCACACGGTTCGCGGCCCCATAAGGGGCGCCACCGAAGGCCCCAGCGGCGCAGTTCGCGCGCGTCCACCCCGCCTCCCGCATGCCCATTCAGGCGCGCCCCTCCCACGTTTCGTGGCCCCGTAGGGAGCTCCACCGAAGACCCCAGCGGCTGCGCCCGCATGCAGCCCCCGCACCCATTTCGGCGCACCCCTCACACGCTTCGCGGCCTCATAGGGAGCTCCGCCGAAGTCCCCGGCGGCAGGGTCCGCACGCCGCCCCCGCACCCATTCCGACACGCCCCTCACGCGCTTCGCGGCCGCATAGGGGGCACCACCGAACACCCCAGCGGCAAGGTCCGCACGCCGTCCCCGCGCCCATTTCGGCACACCTCTCACGCGTTTCGCGGCCGCATAGGGAGCTCCAGCGACGGCGCCTGCGGCTGCGTCCGCGTGCCCCCCCGCCATCCATTTCGGCGCACCCCTCATTCCTCGCGCGTTTCGTGGCCCCTGGCCCCGCGTCGAGCTCCACCGAAGCCCCGGCGGAAACTTTCGCCCCTCGCGGGCCTCTTGAAACAATCTGCGAACGTTCTGCCGGTGCGAGGGGCCCTAATGTTTTTTTCAACGGAGCTGCCTCCTGGCCTGCGCGGGTCTGGAGCCTGGCCCCCGGCGACGCGGTACGAATCCCAGTTCGCAGGACTTGTGAAACGGCGTTATAAGCGGCCTTCTGTACCTCGTCGCAAATCGCGCGTTCATTTGCGCCCGTGCGCGCAGTTCTGCATGGCCGGAGAGGGGCCCTGAAAAGGCCCCCTGTCAGGCGACGGGAGAGGGGCCTTGAAAAGGCACCCTCTCCCGCCTGTGCATTGCCGGAGAGGGCCCCTGACAAGGCCCCCTGTTGGGCGGCGGGAGGGGGGCCCTGAAAAAAGGCTCCCTCTCCCGCCCGTGCGTTGCAGGAGAAGGGCCCGCAGCCGTGGACCTCGGCGCGCACGGGCAAAGAGGGGGGCAAATAACGGGAAGGAAGCGGGCGCGATCCTCGCGAGGAGCGCGCCGACATGATCGTCGACGTTCATGCGCGTAGACTGATGAGCGCGCAGACTCGTTCACAATCGGACGCACTCGCGCTCGGGCTCACCCGTTCTCAGTCTCTCGCTGTCAGACGGATCGTCTGTGTTCGCGCGGTGTGCCCCGCCGCGCACTTCGGCGCGCCCCTCGCGCGGTTCGTGGAGCCATAGGGAGCGCGGGCGAAGATTGAATGCGTGATGGCGGTGTTCGCAGCTGCATGTGGTTGGGTCTTTCGCCAGGCTAATTTGCATGCCATGGTGTGTTATGGTTGTTTATTCCAGCTGGTGACAGAGCGGGGAACAAAAACAAGTGATGATGCTGCCGCGCCCATGAAGACAGGTTCCCGGGATCCGCGTGACTCAGAAGCGCCAGCGCCAGCCGCCCCTCGACAGAAGGTGGAGAGATAGAGAAAATAATATCAAGATAAAGCGAGAGGAGAGAGAGCAGGATACATCAAGATAGTAAAGCACATCTAATATACCAAACTGATAAGCTGAGCCCGGGTTGTAGCTGGCCCTCCAGGCGGCGTTGCTTTGAATACTCCAAGAACCCAGATATAACGCAAATCGTGAATTCACAGCGAATTGACAAGCAACCCGTTGGGCTGAAATAGTAACCATGAATAATGAAAGTCATAGTGAATCACATTGAACTGAGGGATCCCGTGATCAGAAGCCATTGAAGGTAAGGAGACACATGATCTAAAGACAACAGAGACAAGAGAGTAGGAACCCAAACTGATTTAGGAAATAAGAATGCGTAGTAAACAGCACTGTAAACCCAAGTGAGCGCCCGAGAACATGAAGTACACGCACTTGTGAGATGAGTAAGTAGAGCTGATCATCCCAATACTTATAACGCGTTGTGTTGGGCAGGGTCTAATGAATAATAATATTGGGAGATTCCTTTAGCCTTGCATCGATGGGGCAGCCCTCCACTTCCAATGCTCGACCGCGCAGTCGTCAGTCCAGTCGAGACTGTCTAGATACCCAATGACGTTCTGAGCCCATCCGCTCTGGAGGGCAACCCAGATCGCATGGCATTCGTGTTCCCACGCCTTTGTGTAGGACTCGTCCTGCTCACTGTGGCGCCGCCAGCCTCCCGACCACTTGCGCCGCTTTGTCCTCGAGTTGACGAGGGGAACGGCAGAATTCGCCTTGCGCTTCCCCATGGTGTACTCACCGGTAGAAGAACCCACAGTGATGGCGGGCCGCAAAGGGAGGGCGGGCGCAGCGCCTACTCAGTCTGAGGCTGAAATGGCGATAGAGTGGACGCACCGTAGCGCGCGCCGACCGGAGCATCTTAAATATAAAAGCTCCCAGGCGTTACGATGGCGAAGACTGGCGAAAGAGCCGACGACGCTTCTCCGCCTGACTCCATTCCACCCTGGCGTTGAGAGTGCCGATCTGTAACCCAGAAGTCACATTCGAACGAGGCCCAAAACGCATCCGCCTATCAACATCAAACCACTGGACAACGCACGAAGAAACATAACACCACAAAGACGACGAATCCCACATCTGAAACTTCACCGGAAGAGAGCATGGGGCGGCGCGAAGAGTCGCCCATTCAAGGGGCCGCGCAACTGAGGCGCCCGGCAGATGCAGCCCCCTCCTCCTCCTCATCAGCATCATTTCCTCGCCTTCTACTTTGAACTATAGCTGGGGCGGGGCTCTCCCCCTCGGGTCGTGCACCTAGGCGCCTTGGGGAGGGGGTCTGGCGGGCTTCTGTCTGGGCTGGGCCTTGCCGGCCTGGCAATTTCAGGAAGGCCCTCCGGGGCAGCGGCTGGCCCTGGGCGGGCGGCCGGGCGAGGGCCCCGCCCGACGTCGGCGACGCGGCCGAGGCGCCGAGCGATCGGGCCCCGACCCGTTCGAGCTTGACTCCAGTCTCCAGTATCTCTCCTTCTTCCTCTGCCCTGCTCGCCCCCCCCCCCCTTCCCCTTCTCATGTTCCCCCTCTTCGTTATCATATCCCCCCGTTCTCCGTCGCTCTAGGCCCCGGTCGTTTCGCGCGAGCTGAGCCCAGTTGAGCTCGCGCTGCGGCGCCGCCTGGTTCCCAGGCGCCTTCATCTTGACATTGCCCGAGATGTCGGCGCCGCGACCGCGCACTTCATGGGGCGCAGAATGTGCGTCCTGAAACGCCCTCCCCCGTCTCCTGTCCTCGTCGTCGCGCGCGTCGTCTTCGCCCTGAGTGTGCGTTTGCCGCCCCCCCCATCGCCTCCACCCTTCCGCCCGCCTCGACGATGTTCGTCGTCGTCGCCGCCCTTGTCAACCCGCCTCCTCGCTGTGTTTGTTATCTATCTATCGATCGGCCCTCCAGCTTGGGCCCCTCGCCCCTGCAGTCGCGACAGCCGTGACATCTATGCATGCGTATATATATATATATATGTCAGTGCATGCATGCATGTGTGTATGTATACATATGTATGAATGTATGACTGTGTATATATATATATATATATATATATGGTCGCACCCCCCCCAAGGTCTACGTTTTGGTGGATTCTGATCATGCGTGTTATCCACTCCCCCACATCCCCTCATCCTCCTTCTCCTCATATTTCTCCTCCTCCTCCTCCTCCCTCCTCCTCCTCCTCCTCCTCCTCCTCGTCATCGTCCCCCTCCTCCTCTTCCCCCTTATCCCCCTCCTCCTCCTCCTCCTCCCCCTCCAGCCTTACACAGGGGCTGCGTCCTAAAAGAAACCATATGAAAACACAGATATGCCTGATATGTTTGTAGGTTTTGGTAAGGAAACCCTGTGACAACACAGATATTACCCATATTTTTAAAGGTTTTGGTAAGGAAACCTTGTGGAACACAGATGTTATTGATATTTTGTGGTTTTCTGGAAACGAGCGCCCCTCCCCCCCCCCCCTATCCTCCTCCTGCTCCTCCTCCCCCTCCTCCAGAAAACCACAACATATCAATACTATATGTGTTTTTTTTTTTTTTTTTTTTTTTTTCACATGGTTTCCTTACCAAAACCTCCAAACATAGCAATAATACGTTTTTTTTTTTTTTTTTTTTTTTTTTTTTTTTTTTTTTTTTTTTTTTTTTTTTTTTTTTTTTTCGCGGGGTTTCCTTACCAAAACCTTTAAACATATCAATAATATCTGTGTTTCCATAGGGTTTCATTACCCAAACCTTTAAACATATAAATAATATTGTGTTTTTTTTTCACAAGGTTTGCCTACGCAGCTCCTCATATCACCCCTCATCCTTGCAGATTCCTGCTCCTGCTCCTGCGTGCGCCTGCTCTCTCCTCCTCCTCCCCCTCCTCCCCTCCTCCTCCTTCTCCTCCTCATCATTCTCCTTTCGATCGGGCAACCTAATCATGGGCCCCATCTGTGTCTAGTCCTGGACCGCGGACCTTGAACAGTCGATTGGCGGACCTGGACAGCAGACGATGAGGAAAGAAATAACAGGAGCGTGAAGAGGATGAGGATGACGACGACGACGTTTTCTGGTAGATGGCGTTTGTGGTTGCTTCTATGGTTCCTGTCGTTAGCCCAGTCGGGACAGGCAATGTAGAACCGATATGTATTCATAATTACCAGGGGCAGCGTTGGCCGCTCGCTGCCCCCCGCCGAAGCGGCCGCCCGCTCAATCCGAAGCATCGTCCATGCCGCCGCCAACGCCGAGCTGATCGCCGCTGTCCGCGTCGTCGAACGCAGCGGCGATGTCTTGGGAGCTCGGCCCGGCGGCAGCGCCAGGGGGCGCGTCGGGCGGGGTCGAGAGGTCGATCTCGCCCTGCGGCATGGCCCCGAATGACCTTGCCCAAAGGACGCGCTTTGGCAAGTTGGGGAGGGGCTCGCTGGCCGCCGCGCCACTGCCGCCCTCGGCGTCGTCAAGGAGCTCCCTCTTCACCGCGAGAGGCACGGGCGCGGCCCCCTTGTCCAGCAGCGCCTTCATGAAGCGGAGCTGCTTGTCCCTGAGCGCGCGGTGCTCCTCGGCGTCCCGCATCGCGCCGTTCTTGATGTAGTCGTGCAAGATATTGCCCGCCGCCGCGGTGATGTAGTGGCCCACCTTCGGAGCCCTCGTCACGTCCGAGTCCAGCCCCGCCAAGCGCTCGAACGCGTCATCGGGGGTGTTCACGACCGCGGAGGACCGCTTCAAGAGGGCCGCGACGTTCGCCTTGGACATGTCCTTGGGAAAGGTACGCTTCAACATGTCGAACAAGTACTGGTTCCGCTTCTTCTTGGCCCCAGCTGGAGACAATACGCACGTGCCGTGGTGGGAACAGCCGTCTCGTCGTACATGTTCTCCGCGGCGAAGCGCGCCTGACCGCGAACGAATTTGGCTGCCCCCCGCCGCTCCCTCGTCGTCGCCTGGAACTGGCCGACGTCCAAGAAAGCCTTCAGCGTCTTCGGGCGCTGCTCGAATAAGCCGCCATCGTCGAAGACGCACGGGCAATTCTTCGTGCCCCCCTCAGCCCTGAAGAAGTCTAGGTCTGGCGCCTCTCGGTGCGATGCCAAACTGCGGTCGCCCTGCTTGTCCGCGTGGTAGTCGGCCATGGCGAATGCCATCGTCTCCAGGTACGGCGTCTTCCCCATCGCCAGGCTCGCCGACCATGAGGCAGGAATGGCTCTTGAAAGTAGGAACGAGGCGCTTCGCGCGCTCGACGCCCTCGACCCCCGAGTCGAAGATGAAGATGGGGTGATGCGTGATCTTCTTCGCTTGAATGCTCTGGTCCTTGATGTGCGAGAGAACCTCCTTGATCTTCCCCTCCTTCCAGTTGTGGACGGAGCTCTGCGGGTCGCCCAGCTGGAAGTCGATCCGCATCATCTGCTCGCAATCGAAGTTGCCGCGCGGGGCGTTGTCCTTAATAAACTGGTACTGGGAACCAATCACGTCCTGAGGAATGCACGTATTCTTTTCTTTTGCGCCCTTCGCCTGCGGGGGTAAGTGGCACCGAAAGTGCGTGCCACCGAGCCGATCCATCATGTAGACCAAAACTTTCCACGGCGTCTTGACGCCACCTCCCTTGCCCCAGGATGGCGTGCACAATGCCTCGCCATCGCGCAGGAGGCGACTCTCGACATCGACCAGCGGCTGCGGACTCGAGAACAGAAAGTACTTGATGATGTCTGTGCCCTCGCCATCGCCCGAGGGCGCTAGCGCCACCTGCATCGTGCACAACGCTTCCCAACCTGTTCTGGGGCGCAGAGGCTCTGGCAAGCCATTGTAGTTGTTGACCAGCATGGCCCCCCGTGCCGCGGCCAAGTCGATGTCCCCCTGGTAGTTCAAGACAACGGCAAAAAAAACATGCTTTACCTTCTTGCACCCCTCAGGCGGCATGGTGGGAATATCCCCTACAGTGTAGAGCGCTTGGGGGTCGTCATGGAATTCTTCTGGGTGCGTCGCCGTGTGGTACATCGGGGCGGCCGAGTCGCGGCCGCGGACCCTGTCGAAGACCTGCGCAATCTTCTCGCTGTCCGCCCCCTCGACCTCCAAGTGCACCTTCAGGGACTTCATCCCAAGGGCGGGGACGTTGGGCATGAGCAAGGATATATCAAGGTCTTGTGGGCGTGCGAAAGTGTTCGGACACTCTGAAGCCTGACCACTAGCGGCGGCAAGACAACGCGGGGGCGGGGGTTGTCACATGCGGGCGGGGGCTAAATCAACGACGACGAAGCGACGACGGCGACGGCTGCTCCTGATCAGACCATTGCGGATGGGGGGGACCTTCATGTCGGCAGACTACGCAACTTTCGAACATCTTAAAACCAACATGCAAGCTGCACGGCTGATACTGCATGCGAGCGAGCCGCACCTCCCCCCCCTGTGTCTGGTCCTGGACCACATACCTTGATCGGCCGATTGGCAGACCTGGACAGCAGACGACGGGGAAAAAATAATATGATCATAACGAATATGATGACGACGCCGACAACGTGTTCTGAAAGATGGCGTTTGCGGTTGCTGATATGGTTCCCGTCGTTAGCATCGTCGGGGCAGGCAGTGTAGGATCGATATGTAGCTATACTTACGGAGGGGCAGCGCTGGCCGCTGGCTGCCCCCTCGCCGAAGTGGCCGCCCGCCCACTCAGTCACTGCAGGCGGCGGCGCGAGCCGCGGAGACCGAACAGCGGGCCCACGTGCGCGCGGTGGATCGGCTGCGCGCCACCAACCTCGGTCGCGCCAACCCCAGCGGCGGCGGGGGGCGGGTGGGTGGCCACCATCGCTGTCTAAAGGGCGCCCTTTGGAGCGGTTGGCTGGTGCTTTGGTAGTGCCAAAAAATGCTATAGAATCCCCCCTCTCACCATCATCATCTCCCTCCTGGCGGTAGATCCTCATCCTCATATTCCCCCCCTCCTCCTCCTCCTCCTCCTCCTCCTCCTCCTCCTCCTCCTCCTCCTCCTCAAGGAATGTTATTGTAAACCCACTACAAAGCCGAAGCGCGACCCAGAGGAAGCGCGCGAAGACAAGAGAAGAGAACAGGAGGAGGATATTTGAGGAAGAAAGGAGGAGGAGGAAGGGAAGACTGGAACAGGGCATGGAAAGGGTAGATCTTGGGAGGGGGTGTGAACTATTATATGCACAACTATTCGGCGGGGCTCGCCCCCGTGGGCCCGCTCGGCGTGCTCGGGCATCTCTGAGCTAAGATTCGACGCGAGCGCGTCGAAGATCTCGTCGACGGGCTCGTCTGGGGCCATGTAGCTCAGCGCCGACATCAGGATCGGGGCGGGGTGGGGGGCGGGGCAGGGCCGGGGGGGCACGGCGGCGAGTTGCCGAATGACATTCGGGCGGGCGCGGCAGCGGCGGCGGCGGCTCGCGGCGGCGGCGGCGGCGCCAGCGACGACGACGATCGACCGCGGCGGCGGCGGCGACCATCGCGACTGACAACGGCGAAGATGGATGGCACCGACCCCGGCGACTCCGACGATGACGACGGAGATCGATCGACGATGGCGGCGCGGCGGCGGCGACGACGACGACGACGCGCGCCGGACGGCGAATCCAACGGCCGGCGACGACGCCGACGACCGAGGAGCCGCAGCAGCGACGACGACGAAGACGACGGCGAGCTGACGGCGATGCCGACGTTGACGATCGACGAACGCGGCCGCGGCGGCAGCGAGGGCAACGACGAGCGTCGTCAGAGGCAGGAGGTCGGCCTGCGCGCACTCCCTCCTCGCCCTGCTCCTCCTGCGTATTATTATTATTATTATTATTATTATTATATATATACGCCAGTTCAACTGGTCAAAAGCGTTCGATGCAACCGCCCGCGCGTTAGATTTCAACGCGTTCGGTCGAGCGCTCGCGAATCCTCCATGCTTTCGGAGCGTTGGCGCGCGCGTGTGAAATATTCCATGGTTTTCCAATGGTGCTTGAACCGTATATCGCGCGGCTTCTTCAGGAATCGTAGTATTCTGGTTGCGCGCGCATGGATTCCCGCGGCGCTCGCGTCGATCGCGCGCGCGCGACTGAATTCTCATGTTTCGACCATAAAAAACCAAGGCTTAGACTTCCGCGCGGGAGAGGCCCATGACAATGAGCGTCTGGGGCATTTGGGTCGCGCGCGGCGTGCTCGGCGGTCGGGGCGCTAGGGGGCCCTCTGCGACCTCCTCGTAGACTGGCCTGGCTGGCCGGCCTCGCCCTCGGGAAGCTCCGGGCCCGCCGCCTCCGCGGGGCAGACCTCCGGCGCGCGCGGGCCGACTTGCGCGCCAATCTCGCAGACCTTGTTCCCGCGGCAGAACTGCGCGACATCGCCGCTGGTCTCGCGGCGCGCGTAGCTGGCGTCTCGCCCGCCCTCGGAGTCACCGACGAGCCGATGGCCCGAGTCGACCATCTCCGCGACGCTCAGCAACGGGCCCCGCCCTGAACTTGGCGGCGCGTGCCTGGGAAGCTCCGCGCATCTCCCCCGCGTGGAGCCTCTCGCCCTCGTCAGCCGCGCAGTGGCCTGAGGCGGTCTTGTAGGAAGCCGCCAGGACTCCCGTGCACTGGGTGGCCCACGCGGGAGCCGCGCGGCAGCGCAGAGGCCGCTGCGCGAGAGTCGGCGCCCGCGCGCAATATGCCGCTGAGCTCGACCTCCTCCGCGACCGCGTTGCCGCGGGCCACCTTCGCGTCCAAGACCGCGCCGGTCACGGAGTCGATGCCGCCCGCCAACGCAGGCCTGGGTCGCTCTAGTCATAAGAGTGAAGGTGCGCGAACGGGTGGCCGACCTGCTCGCCGTCGCCATTGAGGTAGAGCGCTGCGCTCTGCCGAGACGCCCCACTAGTAGAGGATGGTGCTGGGCCGACCCTCGCGGTCGCAACTGTCGAAATCGAGGCCGCTGACCAGGGCGCCGACGACGCAGGCCCAGTCGGGCCAAGGTCCCCCCCCAGCCGGCACTGCTGGTCAAGGCGCGACCGGGTCTGTTCAACGCTCGCTAGCGTGCCCCTGTTCTTGCTGAAGCACCCCCGCTGCGTTTGGCCTCGGCCGCCGCGGCCCGGGCAGAAAAGGCCCGAGGTTCTGCCCCTGGTCCTCGCCCCCGCCGGTCTTGCTCTTGCCGTCGGACTTGCCTTTGCCGTCGCCCATGGCCTTGCCCGTGCCCTTGCCCCTGCCCTTGCTCCTGCCGCCCTCGGCCAAATCGTCCAGGTCCATCGGCGCCGGGGCCGCGGCGATCGCGCTCTGGGCCCCTTGGATGTCCGTGACCTCCCGGCGGAAGTCCTGCCGCTCGACGAGCCAGGTCGCGATGGGCGCGTGGCGTTGCCGCAGGGCCCCCCCCTCGAGTTGGCGCAGCACTGTGCCGATCCTCATTTGAAGCCGAGAGGGTCTCGCCACTCCGCTGCTCGTATCGGATCAGCTCTCGCCCGAACAACGCTAGCCTGTCCACGACATCGCCAGCGAACGCGAAGTTCAACAGGTTGAGCACCTGGCCCGCGATCCGAGACCGGGCAGTCGGCTCATAGTACTCAACCAGCTTGCGCCGCGCCTGGGAGCCCTCGTTCCCGCCGCTACTGACGATGGTGGTCTAGGGGTGCTGGCGGCAAAGGAGAAAGAGGATGGGGCGCAGCTGCTGCGAGGCGCTCTTGAGCGAGTCCTCGGCCAGGTCGTCGATGAGCGCCCAGGTCGCGTCGGCGCTCTCGGCCCGACGCATCCCTGTGACAAGGTCGGGGTTCACAACCGCGCGCTCTGAAGATGACCTTCCAATTATTCCACTTGTGCTCCTTTCCCGCGAAGACGCCAGGCTTGCCAGGCGTGCGCGTGTCCACCAGGTGATCCACCCGAGGTTCCGCCGCAGCAGCAGCAACATCTGACGGCTGGGCCACGCCGGCTGCCGCTCGGCCAAGGCGCTGCGCCTCGGCCCTGAACTCGCTCTTGCGTCGTCGCCTGCGCCGCTCTCCCTAACTGCTGGACCCTCTCTTCAGTTCCTATCCTGTCAGCGGCGCTCCGAGGCAGGCTTGAGCGCGATCGCCGAGAGAACCCGCAAGCGCCTGTGCCGGAACAGCTTGCGCAGGGTCCTCGCGATCCGCCGCCAGCCGTTGTCCGACACGCAGATCCACCCCTCGTTCTCCGGCAAGCCTCGCACGTGCACAGCGCCCGCGCCCGCGGGGCCAGGAACCGCAGAACCCTCGCCAGACGAGGACGGCGGGGACCACGGCTCCGCTACCATGGTGAAGTCATTTCTCGGGATGCTTGCCTGGAGAGGTGAACCGAAACGCTGATGCAGCATGGTACATGCCACATCATGATATCCAACTCTCTCAACACAATCACTGCAGGGGGCTATGGGTTTGGCACAACCCCCAGGAAACGGAACTGAACAATTTGAAAAGCCGGGAACGCCCTTGACCCCAATTTGCTGCCAGCGGAGCCGCGAGCTTATCCAAAGGCGACGACGGAACTCCCCACCAGCGGCGGCAACAGCTCGCCAACAAAACACTTCGCGGCGGACAGGCGCGCCCAGACCAGGCCAGGAGGGCCGGCCCCAGGAGCAGGGGCCAGCAGGGCCAGGGGATGGGGGGCGGGCCCAGGGCCAGAAGTGCCAAGGCACAAACCAGGAAGGGGCAGGCCCAGGAGAGGGGACCGCAGGCCAAGGGCGCCATAGTGGGTTGAGCCGAGGGCGGGCTCCTATGAGTCGCAGGGTGCTGGCATTCTGAAAGGAGGAGAGGGTCGGAGGCCTCGAGGCGAGAGGGGGGGGAGTGGGGGTCCCATCCAAAGCGCCTGGGAACTGGGTTCTGAATCTCTGGACTGGAAGGTCGGTGGCGCGAGCTGCCTGGAACTCCCAGGCGTTCCCAGCTGCTCCTGAGCGTTCCCAGGCCCTCCCAGGCGTTCCCAAACGCTCCCAGGCGCTCCCAAGCGCTCCCGAGCGCCCCCGAGCGCCCCCAAGCGCACTCGCCTCCAGGCGCCCCCAGGAGCTTCCAAGCGCTCCCGAGCTCCCAAGCACTGCCGGGCGCTCCCAAAAAGCTCCCACTCCCAGGCGCTCGCATGCCATGCGCTCCCGTGCGCGTCAAACATTGATGATCATGGGCACGAATGGCCCGTGTGCGCCTTCACTTGCCGTCATTCACCGTCAGTTGTCATCAGTCGTCGTCGTCGCCGTTGACACGAGGTTGCAATCCCTTGATCTTTGAAGGAGAATCAACCCTATGGGAAGTGTTACAGGCTGGGGGGGGATTGATAAGCTGCGGAAGACCCTGGGACCTGAGCCCCGAGGCCAGGACCCAGAGCCTTAAGCCCTACAATAGGAGCTCGACCACAAGAAACCTTCCACAAGAAACCCGACCCTGGAACCCCAGGGCGACCATCGACTTCTGGTGTGGGAACGTCGCGCTTTCCGTAGCAGAACCATCGAAACCCAAGGATCCCAGGGTACCCTGGAGGCAAACAGAGTGTTTCTTGGCACGGGTTTCCTAGAGTTCCAAACACCGAGCCCGCGACCCTCGGCCCTGAGCCCTGCGGGCACGAAACAGGCGGGCGGCCCCCAACGGGCGGGCGGACCCTGACGAGGCGACGAGGGCGGCGACGGCAACGACGGCTGCGAAGGCGACGACTACGACGACGACCCTGACGGACGATTTGGGCGGGGGGACCCTAACACGCGGATTGGGCGGACCACCGCCGGGCGGGTCGGGCGGACGGACCTTCACTGGCGGGTCGGCCAGGTGGTCCTAAGGGTGGATCGGCCAGACTCTCACGGGCGGGCGAGATATCACAACAGTGCGCAAGCCACCCAGCAGGTCATTCACGAGGGCGACGGCGACGATCATGGCGACGACGACGACGACGACGAGGGCGACGAATACGAGAAGGACGAAGACGACAAGGACGACGACGACGACGGCGACGGTGACAACGATGAGGGCAGCAATGCCGACGACGATGACGACGACTCCAACGGGCGGGTCGGGCGGGCGGACCCTAACAAACGCGTCGGGCGGGCGGTGCCTAATTGGCGGCGGGTCGGGCTGTCTGGGGCATTACATACCGTGCAATCCATCCAGGGGTCTCCGACATATGAGAGAGATGCAGGCCGCATCGTTCGCCAGAGCGTTCAAGATGGCTCAACAAGCCCTTCAAACCGGTGCAAGACGGCCCAAGAGGCCCCGATCAGGCCACCGACACGGCTTCAAGCGAGCCCCCAGAGCGCGCCACCGATGCACTGCTGGAAACCAATCCCTCCAAGATGATTCCAAGACCACCAAGACCCCTAAAAGGCCCACACATGGCTCCAAAACGCATCCCAGCCGGCCGCATAGGCCATCAGGAGCCCCAAAGAAGGCCCCCAAAGAGTCTCGGCATTTGCAGCACGACCCATGCGCAGCAGCGGGATGGGCCAACGGCCATTACAGTTTCGCTCTCGAATTAAAAGCGCCACTGCCCCTTGCACCCCGTCGCCCTTGGAAACCTCACGAACATGGGACATCATCCCTCCAGATTCAGCACGCGGCGCGCGCCTCATCCGCCCACGGTGGTATCCAGAACGGCAGGTGCGTCTGGTTGTACGGCCGATGGAGGACAGGCAACTTCCTCAGATGTAGGCGGATGGAGCGAATCATGTTCATGCTCACATTTCGACCTCCTTTTCTTCCTCCTCCCGCTTTCAAAATTGATGATTATTTGCGCACATGACGGGCAGTTCATAGTGTGAAGCGTCGGTCGCGTTACATGTACCCCAGGAGCCTTGATTGCGTTGCTTTGCCAAGCCCAAGCGCTATCCCATCGAACCTCCACTACTCGTGGCAGGTCGCCTGCCGTTTGCTTGTTTTGGGGACCTTCGCTCTTGTCGGCATTCGCCATGTGCACCGTGCAAGACACCCGATCCACAACCCTGACAAAACGAACACTCGACAATTATTCACACATATATGAAGGCCACCAGGAGCGGCATTTACTGCAACTGGAGAGATGCATGCATAGGCGTCGCGCTGCAAGAGTCAGGTCGCGCTTGCTGGTGCCTTGGCGGCGGGGAAATGTAAGGAGGGGGGGTAAGAAAGGCAGAGAAAAGTAAGGAAAAAATTCGGCCCAGTGGGCCCGCGACGCTGTCCTGAGTCACTCCAGAATGGCGCCCGCCCTTCCCTCCTCCTCCACCTCATGATGTCTTATTTGTCCTTCTCCTCCTCCTCCTCATCCAGCACATGGGGAGGGGAGGAACGATTGAAACTCAGAGAGGGCGCAGGACCGAGGGCGGCGAACGGGCCTGAACCTGGCACCCGCTCTGACCAGTGCTTTCAGTAGCGAGCGGCTCGACGAATAATCGCTGAGTTTGGCATCCAGGGGACATCTGCACTGCGCGGCGGCACTGCATTGCAATGCGTGTCCTTTCGCAGAGAGGAAGCCCTCCGGGGAAACGCGGCGGGAGGGGGGGGCACCCGAAGGAAGCCAAGGGCGGCAACCTTCGCGCGAGCGAAGGAAGCACTCTGCTTAGGGCGAGGCCCGAAACTTGGGGGAGCTCCATCTCCTCCTCCCCACCCCAGCCCCAATCGCTACCATTAGGACTGTAATTTGGAGGCCATGCCGTGGTCTGGGGTCCTGTCCTGGGGTGCGCTCCATCTAAGATTTCTATCCGGATACAGCCGTGAAGACGAGCATGACCTCGGAGGCACCCCACAATGAGAAAAGACATAACGACCATGATCCTCGATCTTCCTCAAGACGACGGCAGAAAGAAACCAAATTGTACCCATAATCCCCGGTCGTCAACTGAGCAGAATCACCCCCGGATCTCTGAGAACCAGCGGGCCCTATTTTCGCATCGGGCGCGGTGGTCGTTACAGAGCGTTCTGGAAGGATCTGTTGCAGCACAGTGCACAGTGCCTCGACAGCGGAGGTCTGCGCATCCAAGGCGCCGCGCCTCGGCGGCGACGACGCTCGACAGATACGACCCTGTGAACTAACTCTCCAGGGGTGCGCCTTAACCATCATTTCGAAGGGAATCCAGCCGTGGCGACGAGACGGACCCAAGAGGCCCTCCCCCCCCAGAAAGATAAGCCACCGAAAACCTCTTATCCTCGACCATCGATCGACCGACGATGACTACGACGACGACCCCAGACCCCAAACCCCGTTCAAAATCGGTCCCAGGACCCCTCGGGGAACTCATCCTGCAACTGCCCCCCCGAAGGCCGACGACAGCGAAAATCACCTTCCATCCTCGATGCACTCGATCTCGTGGAAGATGCACGTGTAGACCTGTCCTGGAGGGCAACCTGGGCAGAATGTCGAGGCGAATGTGGCCGCAACACCAAGGAGAAGACTCCGCGACGCCCAAAGAAAAAACATACAAAACCACCTTCCCCAAAGAACCGATGCCTTGAATTTTCAAGACGGGATCCCCGGAAATCAATACCCTTTCCCCAAGGCTGTTTTTTCGTCCTGGGCCGTTTCTTGACGGTTCTATTGGCCCTGGCGATGGTCCCTGGAAGTCGAAAAAGGCCCAAACCCTCCGTCGTTAGAGGCCTTCTAGATGGGGTCGGAGGATCGCGCCGCATCGGCGATACATCGGCGATACATCGGCGATGCATCGGCGATGCATCGGTGATGCACCGGCGATGCATCGTCGACGCCGGCGATGCATCGGCGACGTTGACGTGGAACAAATCGGGCTCCACATCGAGCCGGCATCGCCGATGCACCGGCGATGCGGTGCGATCCTCCGACCCCGTCTACTCGGACCCCACCTAGGAGGCCTAGAGTCGTGTTTTGTTTTCACGACACAAGCACGCCTGAGTCCCGATCCGCGATCTCCCATCGCAAGCGGTGGCGGCCCTGGCGGCGGTCCGCGGGGAGCTCCGCGTCCGCCTGCAGGCTCTCGGTCAGCCGCGGCAGAATGCAGGGCTCCGCCTCCTGACCGGGCCGGGCACGCCGCGCCTGCGCTGCGCCTCTCGGCACGTCCGAGACTGGGGCTGGGAGTGCGGGGGCGAGTCCCGACAGCCAGTGTTGCACAGACCAGCAACTGCCGATGCTGAGCGGGCGATCTTCGCTTTGAACGAGCAGCGCCTGCTGCGAGACAGACATCAGGTCCTGCTCAAAATGGGCAGGAACTGCTGTCGGGCATCGTCCCCGCAATTTCTGTCCTCATGTCGGCCCTCGTGAACCTCCGCCTCCCCTTTATCTGGGCGTGCCACAATATTGCGCAACTTTCTCGTCCCGCTTGCCGGCCCCAGGCAAGGGGTCGAGATAGGCAGTATCTGCGACGCCCAGTTCTCGGTTCGTCGAAGGTGTGCCTGGCGAGCCAAATATTCAAGGCGCTACTGGTCCTTGCCAGAAGCTCCCCACTGGCCCTGCGGCACGTCGCGCCTGGACAACATGTCTTGCTGATACAGGGCAATGTACCCTTCAATCGATTTTCGGGCCAAGATGGCCTCCAACATGCCTCCAGGTCCACCCAACGCTGTCAAGATGGTCCCAGTATCCCGCCCAGGTGGCCTCGAAGACGACCACGACTGCCCAATGTGGCCCAAAGCGGCCTCAAGGCCCTGACATTGGCTCCAAGACGGCCACCAAAGACGTCCCAAGAATGACCCAATAGGGCCCCCTTGGGCGCACCAACCCTCCCTCCAGCAGCGACTCGGCACCGCAATTGGAACCGCGGGGAGCGCACGTTTCTGCGCGATCGATCATCGCATGGCCGCAGCCTCCGACGGAATGGAATGGGAGCGGGGCGATGGGACACATACGGACAGACTACTGTGTGCTGGGTGCTGTTGCAGGCGCACGTCTGACGCGAAGACATAGTATGACAATCTTGCAATCGATTCTCCCCCGAAAGGTGTAGCGAGTCAGCGCCCGCCACGGAGCGTATAGTAAAAGATTTCTGAGCGTGCGCGTCGCCCCTGCTGGGTTGACGCACACATAGTATCCGCCACCGTGCCCTCGATGCACGAGTTGGAGTGTCCTCAGGTCCTTGCCCAATCCCCTCTAAGCCTCAGCCCTCAACTCAATCGTAAGAAATCTTTGAGGAGCCCAGACCCAAAATTGCCAAATCTTCTGCGGCGGGTCGCGTGGCCCCTGGGGCGCATCGTTGCTTATCAATGGCTGGTTCGGCCTCAAGGAGGTCCCCAAGAAGGGTCAAGAGGGCCGGGCCCCAAGAGGCCCCAAAGACGGTCGAAGAAGACCCCGAATCGCCCAGGGGCTTCCAAGAGCCTCCCCAAGAGGGCCCCGAGAAGCAAGCAGACATCATTCCCCATAGGTTGTCTTTGCGGATTTGGGCCCTCGCGCCTTTGCGGCTTCCCGACGTCCCAAGACAACCCAAGAGGCCCCAAAGATCGCCCCAAAACGGCCAAAGAGGCTTCGAAGAGGGCGCGCAACTTCCCAATAGGGCTCTAAGACGACCCAAGAGGCCTCCAAGACGGCCCAAGAGGCCGCCAAGACGGTTCCAAGAGGGGGCCCAGACGGGGGACCCGAACGGACAGTTCGACCCCCTCGTCTCCGAGAGGCCCCCAGGATGGCCAAACATGTTCCCGATAGGCCACGAGAAAGCCGAGAGGGGGCCCCAAGAGGCTCCCAAGGTGCCCCAACACTGTCCCCAAGAGGCCCCTGAAAGCGCCCCGAAGAGAACCCAAGAAACATCCCTGAGGACTCTGACCAACAACCCAGTCACGGTGGCGGGATGTGTCGAAAGCCAATAGATAAGTATGTTTGGGTGATGCCGAAGGCGGGGCCGCTTCCTCTCGAACGGCTTGATCGCCCTCGCGGTTTGTCAAGGCAATTCGCAGAGGAGTCGTTGCCGGCATGCACCAGATGGCCTGGGCCCTTGACAACACCAGCCCCCGAATCCCCTCCAAGCGCAATCGCGCTCAGCAGCGTCTTCCCAAAACCTGTTCTAAGCCTCGTCCTGGCAATCGTAACAAACATCCGCTCGCCGAGCAGCGCCTTGGCCTCCGTGCCTGCTGCCCATCTCGAGATACACGCGTTGCTGGCTGACTCCTTGGTGGCTTGGCGCGCACACGCTCTATACAAGCCGCTCGGCGCACTTTGGCCCCTCCTATGGGAGCGGTGAACACGTGGAGGCAGGCGCGCTAAAAGCCGAGTGAGGGACGCGCACGCGTGAATTGCTTTGCCATCCCAGCTCCCATGAAGGGGAGCAGGATAAACAACATGGGAATGAGGCCCCCAGTGGAAATCTCGAACGCCCGCTTGCCCAAAGAACGGGGGGGACCATTTCCACTGGGCATCGTCCGCCAACTACTTGGCGGCGGCCCTGGTCGTCCACTGTGAAAGACCGCTGGGCTCGAGACCGCACCTGGCCAGGATCGCCCCTCTGTCATAGTCCTGGGCCGACGAATCCTGGAACAGAAACGTGGGGAGCAAGACGGGCATGGGCAACTGTACCCGGAATATTGAAAAAGTGATCAACACATGCCGACACAAACGCCTGGCCCAACAAAGAGGGCAATCTGCAGGCCTGCGAATACCCAGGGGCATTCACAGAGCACCGAAGCTCGTCTTTACAACGTGCATGTCTTGCTTTACCTGTGTCTGCGCCTCTTCCTCATTTTGCGTCGCATCCGTGCCCATGTCCGTGCACCTAGTTCTGTGCGTGCCCTTATCATTCCCATCTCCCTCCTTCGCCCTGTCTCCCCAATCTTTCTTTATCGATGTTCCCTCTCTCCCTGCCTCGTTCCCTTCTCTCTTTCATGTTGTGTATGCCAGCTACATATGCCCTCCGACCCTTGTCAGGTACAACGGAGGCTAACACCCGAACCAGCAAGCTTGCGCTGGGTAGTACCACGTGGGGGCACGTGCAAATCACCTGCGCGCTCCACCGAAGAGCTTATTGACAACCGTGGGTGGGTGGGGGCGCAGCGGGGCCACAATATTAAATAATGGCATCCAGACGAGCACGATGAGACAGCACGACTCTGGAATATCATCGATCAATATTTGACTACTTATGTATGCCAACTACATATACTCTCCGAGCCTTGTCAGGTGAAGGCACACGCGAAGCGTGCATGAATATAACATTGTCTGATCCTTTTCAAGGACAGCGAGGGGCTATGATCCGAGCCGGCAGGCTTGCACTGGTCAGTGCCACATCAACTTCCCCGATCAAGCATGATCTCCAGTATCAGAAGAAAGTTGAGGCTAACAAGAACCAGTAGACAACGCCCCACATGGGGGCCAACTGCGCAACATCTGTAAGCAAGAGACCAATAATCTGGAGAAGTACCAACGCGCGGACGAGTGAGGCTCACTTTCCCTCGGCGGGGGCATTCGCGGGCTGACCTTTCCGAGAGCCGTCTGCCGAACGAAGCGATGTCTGCCAGCGGCGCGCGTCTGGCCAGCAGCTCTGCTGCGCCACAGCACTGAAGGCCGTCAGCGGTCAGCGGTCCAGTGGGCGGCGCCGACCCCCGAGGCGTCGGCCGCCTCCCGTAGCCGGCGCTGCAGACGTCGCTGCGACATTTGATCGAGCCGCTGCCTGGGCGTCAGCTCGACGCGCGCCGTGTAGTGCGTGAGCCACGACACCGTCGATGGCTTTTTGAACAATACCATCTGCTCTGCACTTCTCTTGGCACGGCCAAGCAACGCTGCGACACCTGAAGTCGTGCGCATCCAAATCGTGCCATTCAGCGAGAGCGCCTCAGACGCGCGCGGCAAGCCTGCGAAGCAGAGGGGCGCCGCCACCGCTGGGCCGAACTCCCCAGCCAGGGCCAGCCAGTCGGCGATGACGAGGGCGAGCTCTGCAGGTAGGGCAGGCGCCTGCAAGGGGAGCCGCCGAGTGCGCCAGACATCCACGCCTTCCAAACAGTGCGGTGAGTATGCCCAGGGCTCGCCTTCGCGAAGGCCGCCAACATGGCGGGCGACGCGCCCGGGCCCTTCGACGACGTGCTCAGCCAAGCACCAGTCCAGGCCCATCCACAGAGAGCTGGTGGAGGCCCACCGCCATGGCCTCCAGGTCAGCACTGGCAGCGTTGACGGCCGAGGCGTGGCGCTGCGTGGTCACTGGTTTGAGCGAGCTCATCACAAAGGTAATGATACGCCATGCGCCCGCGGCGTCTGCCAAGATCGTCGGCCATTGCGAGACTGTCCGCGAGATCTGGCCAAGGCGCCCGCGGCCGAATGGGCCAGCGCCAGACGCCGCTGCGGAGGTTCGCGAGCGGACTGAGCTGCGACGAGCCCCCTGTCGGCATCAACCCATGCATATTTTTATGGCGGTGCCAGCGGTTGCAGCGAAAACCAGGTGCGCCCCCGAGGCTCTCGTTCCGTGACGAAAGACGTAAGTTTCTGCGAAATGGCTCCGTGGCGACACTGATCGGACGGGGCGACGTAACGCCTGAGCGCCGAGATCCAGTTCGCGACCTCCTCGGAACTCCAGAACGAAGGATAAGGATCGCGGCCCGGGCCCAGTGGGCTTTCCTGACCAGCCCCCCCCCCCGCGCGCTCAGGACGACCCCGTTGAAGAGCAGAGGGAGGCATGGGTTCCCAGCGCGCAGGCGCGGCGCTCGGCACCTGAAAATCCTGCAATCAGAGCGAAAGGGTCGCGCCTGGAGCGGAGCGGCCGCGGCCCCCGCGGCAGCAGGCGGTGTCTGGCTCGGCTCGCGGTCGAGCGCGGCGGGCCCGCGACGGTGCCCAGAACGTCGCCGCTGGTGCGGAGCCCCCAAGCTCGTGCACCAGCGCAGGCATCGTCAGTTCATGGGGGGCCTCGATCGCAGGGTCGTGGGCGATGGCCTTGACCACCAGGCCCGCGTCTCGCGCCTCCTGCTCCGCCGTGCAGCAGAGGCGCCCATTGCGTCGAGGCCCAGAGCAGAGGTGCCAGAACAGCCTCTCTCGGCCGCGCCAGCTCGCAGGAGCCCAGGGCATCGCCTCGACGCGATGGCCTGGCGGGGGGCCGCTGTCTGACGAACTCCACGACAGCTGCTGGGCTGGTCCGCAGAGCTCTTCTTGGCGGCGGCGTCGGTTCAGCCCGCGGCTGGCGCTCCGCCCCTTGCTGGAGGCGCCCTCGCGTGGCGCGACGTCGCCAGCGCGCGGGGCTCGACTGCCCATCTCCGCGGGGCGATGAAGACGAGCCTCCATGCCCCGCGGGTTCGCGCGGAGCTCCCCCAACGAAAAACGCTCGAATCACCCTCGCCTGCCGACCTTGAACCGCGCGGCGCGGGCGGCGGGGGGACCTGGGCGAGGCCGCGGCGGCCCTCGAGGTCCGCGTCGACCCTGGAGCCGTCGCCCAGCGTTGTGCGCGTCGCGCGGCGGTCGGACCACTGCGTGATGTGCCGCGCCGCCTCCTCGGGCAAAATAACCAGGGCGCGGCCGCGGCCGCCGGGCGACGCGTCCGCGCGCTCGACGCGGGCGCGCCACTCGGCGCCCGGGTCCTGCTCGGCGAACGGCAGCAGGGGGGTGGAGGTCAGCAGCTCGTGCTACGCCATGGGGGCACCAAGCCGCGGGCTTGCGACCCCTTCAATGGCAGGCGCTCCAGCCAGGCATGGGCCAATGACCGCAGACAGGGTCGGAAGCTCTGGCAGTGCCCGCGATTGCCGACCGGGCGCTCCGCGTCCGCGCGGTAGATCACCTGCTGGCCCAGCATGCTCAGCGAGGCCGCGCGCGAGTCCAACCGCCTCCGACGTGTGGTACTCAGCCTGTGCTGCGTCGGGCGAACCTCGGTGCCCTGGATCTCGCCCTGGTCGCCGTCGATGGGGCTTGCCGCGACGCGCAGGCGCGCCCATTCGGCCCCCGCGCGCGGTCAGCTCGAGCAATCCAGCAGGCGGCCGAGCCGCGGGTCCCATCGCCCGCCGAGCGCTCGCCAAGGGCCCAGAGGTCGTCGACGATCGACCCCGCGGCGGTATCTCGGTCGGGCAGAGCTTGTCTCAAGGTCACCCCGTGGCCCTGGGGCAGCTCGGCCTCGAGGACAGCGGTGTCCGAGGCGGCCTGCGTTCGCCCTGCCGACGGCCCAAAGCCCATGGGCGCGGCGTCGAGGGCTGGGCGCGGGCGGGTGATCAGCCGGCGGAAATCGCGCCGCAAGTCACGCTTCCGCGACTTCGCGCGAGTGCGACGCAGCGTCCTCGCGACGCGAGGCCTCGGCGGGCAGGCGAGGGTCGGCCGCGGCAACTTCGCTGGGACCAGCAGCTGGTTCGCGGAGAGGTCGGCGATCACTCGCTGCTCGGCGCCACTCTGCTTCGCGCCGAAGGCCACCGCCGCCGGCGGCGTGCCATGATGCGTGCGAGCCCGCTTCTCGGCACCGTAGCCTTGCAGCCCCGCCATCGCGCGGCGCGCCGCGCGAGTCGGGCGGGTGGCCCCCGCCAGCGTGCGAGGGCAGAGTCCGGCGGGCGTCTGATCTGCGCCCAGGAGCAGCGGGCGCGGGCGGTGAAACTGATCCGCCATCGCGGGGAAAGGCTCGTCCAGCAGGCCCGCCAAGTCCACTGCGGCAGCGCGGGGGGCCCACCCGGGCTCGCCGAGAATCTCCGCGATGAATTTCATCTGCGCGCGACGGTGCGCAAACTGCCCCAAACCCAACTGCGCCCCGATGTTTGCGCCCGTGCTCTGCGAGCTCGGCGCCGCGACGCCGCGGCAGCGGGGGGGGGGCGAATCACAAGTGAAGCCGCGCCCAGCTCCACCGCGCGAGGCCAGCCGGGATGTCCGCGACGTAGTGGCAGCCCAGGCGGGCCACCTGTGGACCGCAGCCAATTGCCGAAACCGCCCCCCAGCGGCCTCCCCCTCCTGTGCCCGTCAGAAGCTCCACGGCCTCCTCCTTGTCCCGGGGGCCGCCCTTCGTCTTCGCCCACTGGATCGCGATGATGCGCTGCGCCGGCGCGTCCATCGCGATGGCGAGGTCCTCCGTGTTGATCAAGTCCATGACCAAATCCAAACGTCTGCACCTCGCGGGGGCCCCGCAGCTCGGTGAAGCCCGTGTGCGCCTGCGCCCAGAACGGGGCCGACGCCTGGCGCGGCATCTCGGTCTCGGAGAAGCGCCCGCGGTTCAACTTCCGATGCGCCGGCGCTTGGAAGTAGCAAGTAACCCGACGGAGCCCCTGGATGCTTCGCCGCGGATGCCAGCAAAACGCTCTTTGCCTTGAACTTCTCCGTCTCGAGCTTCCGGTCCTGCGCAGGGTCCACGCGGCGGTTATTGGCCTTCGCTTCCTTCCACTGCAAGTGCTGGCTGCTGCCGCTGATCGAACTCGAGCCGTCGCTGCTGGAGGCGTCGTCGCTGGAGTCACGCTTGTTCGTCTTCTTCTTTTTCTTTTCTTTTATTTTTTTCTTGCCAAACTTCCTGTCTGCCCTCTTTTTTCTTAATGTCTTTCGAAGTCGACATTGAGCTACCGGCCCCCAGCTGGCTCTGCAGCGAACGGACCTCCTGCAGCATCGTCGCCAAGTCGAGCGGCGACAGGTCCCCCCGTAGCCGCCGCCGCGTCTGGCACCCCGACCGCCGCGAAACCCAGACGCTCGGCAGCCACGGGCGCCGCCGCGGCCGCGCCTGGAACCGCAGCCAGGGCGCCTGCCGCCGCCGCTCCCGCCGCCGTTCCCGCCGCGGGCGGACCCATCGGACCCGCCGCCGCCAGAGCTCCTGCGCCAGATGCTGGCCGCACGTAATTAGGTCGTCAGCGAGGGGAGCTGCACCCATGCCTCGTTCACCGACCCAGGCGGAAACGGCGTCGCCACCAGGGCCGCGTCCACGCCCCGCGCCTGGAGGCGAAACGCGGCCAGCTCGGCCAGGTTCCGATCCCACTGGGCGCGCAGACCCAATTGACCAAGCCGTCGGGCACGCGGTGCTGTCCTCAACGCGCCTCCGCCTGGCACGACCGCCGCTCGGGCCAGGCACCAACTTCACGAACATCCGCACGAAGCTCGTGCCCGTCGCGTCGGTCGTGAGGCCGAGGTGGCAGTCCTTGCCTTGCAGCTGCCCGAAGACCAGCACCTCGTCCCACTCGCCCGACTTTGAAACCAGCACCCACGACGGCGCTGCAGTGCCAATGGCCACGCCACCAGCCAGCGCCATCTCGATCAGCCAACACTCCAGAGCGGTTGGTGCCGCTTCGAGCTCGCGATCACGTACCTCCACGCAGCAAAGGCAGCCGAGGCCACGGCCTCGGCGAGAGCCCGCGCGCCGCGCGTCACACGCCCGCGGTGCTCCCAGGCGAGGGCCGCCACGGAGATGGCGAACGAGCCGAGCACCTGCAAGCACCTCCAGCTCGAGGCAGAAGCCGCGGCCGCGGTCCGCCCGAGCACAGAGGCGCCTTGCGCCCCCGCGGTGCCCAACGCCTGCAGGACCTCGGGCGCGTGCCGAGCGGCCGTCCACCAGGCCGCCTGACTCCATAGCGCCGCCGCCGAGCCGAGCACGAGGAGGGCGGATAGCGTAGCACAGGGGGCCAACTACGACCTGTCGTCGCAGGAACAAGTCGCCGTGAAGTGGCTTGAGCCAGAATATTACATAATACAGTCGAGACGAGCATGATGAGACAACAGGGCTCCAGAAAACCACCTAGCAAGCTCTGACTATTATGTTCCCGTCTCCTTCTCTCGCTTCCATCTCCATATCCCTCGCCCCTCTCCCCTCCTTCTCTCCCCAATGCCCTGGATCGAGGGGAGGGAGACGCCCTCGCGGTGCGCACACTCCACTCTTCCCTCCCTCCTTGCCTCCCCCACAACGGGTAAATGCCAACGAATGGGGGAAATGGGTAATAGAAAAAGGGGAGACAAGCAAAAGGGGCAACGGGAAAAATGCACGGGGAGAAACAACCAAGGCGAGAGAAAGGCGGACCGGAAAGAGGAACGGGCGACAGGGCAAATCTGCTGCACGAGGAGCGGGAAGATGAATAGAGAGACTACTCCTTGTCGTTGAAAAAGCGATGGCGGTCGTACCAGGGGGCACTGGAGAATCGCAGCTGGCACTGACTGCCCTGCCTTCCCGCGAGCAGCGCCTCGAGAAGCAATAACTACGGGTCGTGTGGACCGCGGCACGGCGGTCCCCCCCCTGATGCTCGGACATCAGGCATCGTACTTGCAACTATCGCTGGAAAGGGCGTCGCAGGTGGGCGCCACAACGCCAACTTCATGGTGGGCGTCTCCTCCTGCTCGGATGCCTCGTCTTCTTCCTCCTCCTCCGCCTCTTTCCTCTCCCCCTCTCATCCGACCGTGTCCTCGATCGCCACTATCCGGCCGTAGAACTCTGGTCTGGCGGCCATCCGCTCGTTGTACCTTGGTCAGCGGCGGTGTAAAAAGTGTAATCGTAAGGGGATGGAACCACGATCACGTCCTGAAGATGAGGGGGACGGGAGGGCGGGGAAGAGACGGGGGAGAGAGTGAGGGCGAAGGAAAGGATAATAGAGAGTCAAAGAGAGAGGGGAATAACGAGAGATACAGACATCTCTTGGGTGCTTTGGGCGTCCCTGGGGGAGCCTCTGAAACAGTTTTGAAGCGGGTGGTGGTGCTTCTGGGGCTGGGTTGGAGCGTCGGCAAATCGAAAATGCGAAAACCCTTCAGACAACCAAAAACAGTTTCTATATATATATACATATATATATATATATATATAGTAAATTTATTATTTATTTATTTATTATTATTATTATTATAATAATTATTATTATTAGTAGTAGTAGTATCAATAATATTAGCATCATTATTATCATATATATATATATGTATAAATGACTGTTGCCTCTTGGGGCCTGTTGGGGTCCGTCTGGGAACCCTCTTGGAGCGTCTGGGGGGCGTTTAGAGCCGTCTCGGAACCTTCGTGGAGCGCTGCGGCGGGGTGGTGAGCCGTCATAGGCGACCGCGGGCGCCTGGGAGTGATTTTCTGGCGACTGAAGGGCGACTCGGTGCCTTGTTGGGCTGTCCTGAAGGTGTCTTGAGGCGGCTTTGGGGCCTGTTGGTTGCTCCAGGCGCCCCGGGGGGGAGCCTCTGAAACAGTCTTGAAGCAGGCGGCAGGCCTTGTGGGGCTGGGTTGGAGCGTCGTTACGTCGAAAAGGCTGACCCTCCCAAAAAACGTCGAAAACCTATCAAAAACCAATGACTGTTGCCTGTTGGGGCCTCTTAGGGGCCGTCTGGGAATCCTCTTGGAGCGCTTGGGGCAAAGTTTGGGCCGTCAGGGAGCCTTCGTGGAGCACCTGGGAGTGGAGGGCCGTTTGGCGACGACCGCGGGCGTCTGGAACACATTTTCCGGCGGCTCGGGCGCGACTCGGGGTCTTGTTGGGCTGTCCTGGAAGCATGCTCTGGGCGCCCGTGTGGGTAGCCCCTGAAACTGCCTTGAAGCGGATGGTGGTGCTTCTGGGGCTTGGGTGGGCTGTCCTGGAAACGTCTTAGGGCGGCTTTGGGGCCTCCGGGGTGCTCTGGGCCCCCTCTGGGGGGAATCTCTGAGACCGTCTTGTAGCGGGTGGTGGTGCTTCTGGGGCTGGGTTGGAGCGTCGGCAAGCCGAAAAAGCGGACCCCCCCAAAACATCAAACAACACCAATGACTGTTGCCTCTTAGGGCCTGCTGGGGGCCCCCTTGGTTCCGTCGGGGAACCCTCTTGGAGCGTCTGGGGGGGCGATTTGAGCCGTCTGGAAGCCTTCAAGGAGCACCTCGGGAACGTCATGGGCCGTCTGGGGACGACCGCGAGCGTCTTGGAGTGATTTTCAGATTTTCCGGCGACTCGGGGGCGACTCGTTGCCATTTTGGGTTGTCCTGGAAGCGTCGTGGGGCGGCATTGCGCCTGAAGCGGGTGGTGGTGCTTCTGTGGCTGTGTTGGAGCGTCGTCACGTCGAAACAAACCGAGAAACTCCCAAAACATAGAAAAATGATGGAACACCAATGACTGTTGCCGTTGGGGCCTCTTGGGGGCCGTCTGGGAACCCTCTTGGAGCGCCTGGGGGGCGTTTTGCGCCGTCTGGGGACCTTCGTGGCGCGCCTCGGGGGCGTGATTGGCCGTCAAAAGGCGACCGCGGGCGTCTGGTAGTGATTTTCTGGCGACTCAGAGGCGACTCCGTGCCTTGGGTGGGCTGACCTGAAGGTGTCTTGGGGCGGCTTTGGGGCCTCTTGAACGTTACGGTAGCCCCTCGGGGAATCTCCAGAAACCGTCTTGAAGCGGGTTGGAGCATCGGGAAGCCGAAAAGGCGGACTCCCACTCAAATATCGACAACCCGAGGGAAATCAATGAACTATGCTTCTTTTGGCCTCGGGGGCCGTCAAAGAACCCTGTTGGAGCGTCGAAGGCGCGGTTTGGGCGGTCAAGGAGCCTCCGTGGAACCTCAGGGAAGCGGCGGGCCGTCTGGAGGCGACCGCGGGCGTCTGGAACACATGTTCCGGCGGCTCGGGCGCGACTCGGGGTTCTATTGGGCTGTCTGTCCTGGAAATGTCTTGAAACGGTTTGGCCTCTTGGATGCTCTGGGCGCCCCTCTTGAAGCGGGTTGTGGTGCTTCCGGGGCTAGTTTGGAGCATCGGCAAGCCAAAGAGGCGGAAGCCGAACACACACACACACACACACACACACACACACACACACACACACACACACACACACACGCACACGCACACGCACACACACACACACACACGCACGCACGCACGCACGCACGCACGCACGCACGCACGCACACACACACACACGCACACACGCACGCACGCACGCACACACGC